GGTGTCTTGGGTACGTTTTTTCGAATCTGCCTATGGCCAATCCACAATCAACGTCTAACGAGTTGTCCACTAATCTGAAGTTAATGCTTGCAGTCAAATGTAATAGCATTCAATCTTCGAATTAATAAGACTATTATAATATGAAGCAGACTAACTTCCAAAACAGAAGCATCTGCGAGATTTTGAAGTTTAAGCTGTACGCAAGAGGAACTTCGCTATCGTAGACGCCACTGTGTCTTCTATTGAGCTGGTAAATTATTACGTACGGTTACTTCCACTGAATTCGTAATCATTTTTTCAAATAATAAAACGATAATAATAATTATTAGACTTTAAGGAACTGGCAAATATCACGTCTTGCTTCTTGTGATAATATTAAAAGTTAAACGAAGTATTTCAATTTTTAAAAGACCACCTGTTGGAAAAGAATATTTTGGGCACTGCTCAAAAGCTAAAACATAAATGTGGCCAAATCTAGTCACAAAAAAGGATAACACAAATGCAATTTAGCCCAAATAATGAGTTGTGCTATAAAAGCTAAGATCTTAGCAGTTTTGTAGGTAGAGAGTCATCTTTATTGAGCCATCAATTTGAAATTTTGGAAATGATTAGCAAAAGTAAAATGTTTTGTTAATGTTTAAATTGTTATTTTCCAACAGGATCAATCGACAAAATTTACAATGCTACAATTTTATTGGAGACTGATGACAAAATGAATTTCAAAGGTTGGTTATCCATGAGGAACATCAAATCATTTCAATCGGGATTTCTTAAATTTATTGGCAAGTTTAATTGGTTTAAATTGACTTGTTTAACTGAAAAAAAACGCTTGTTTTTATAATTGTTATTTATTATTGCTGTTTTTTGTACACCATCTCATGAGCTTACTCAACTCCCCCTTCATTCACACGACTATTCACCTTGGATTATCCCCACAGCTAGGTCTCGATGTTAGCGCAGTTATGAGTCACACCTCCGAGGTATAATTACGCACGCGCAAACCCCACACACCACCACGGCTTCGTCAAGTTCTCGAGCAAACGGTTGACTCTCTGTCCTTCCGCAGACTTCGTCCTTGTTGGGCAGTTGGTGGTATATGGCGTTCCAACAACCGTTCCTGGTCTAAGAGTGACCTGTCTTTTCTTCACACCTGAAAAATCAGGGTGCATATTAAACACCTTCAAAATCAGATGCCTCAAATTAACTGATGTCGGAACACCATTATGCATCCGAAATGAGTTAACTTTATTTAATTTCTTTTATTTAACCCAGACATAACGTTTCGTGCATTAACTCTTATTAGTTAGTCAGTGATCATTCGGCCATGGACTCACATTAACATTGCAATTATCGACGATGCAATGACAAAATAAATTCGGTTTTGCGGCTTAGCAATTAGAGTTATTACGACCTTAGTCTTCTCCCATTTTTGGGGGGATAATAAGCTGCAGATTGCCCCAACAGAAGCTACTTTCAAAAGGGAAAACTCGGCACCCAAGTTACCTAAAATGTGAATTCAAAGTGCTACGGTCAGTATAAAACCAAACTCATTTTTTAACAGGACAAATCAGCGAACTATTGTTTGATCAGGCAATGTGGGACACATGTTTACTCGCCACTCCTGGGCAGGAGAGTTGGAGCATCCTAACCATGACTTGCATATGGTGTGCGTTTCCCCTTATGTTCGGTACGAGCTGTGGACTTGGGAGCCTGGCCCTTGGATTTTCACAGTTTACAACCCAGAATCATGGTATGTTACCGGAACTTGTAATTAGGTTTTGGCCTTCTGCCTCGCCTACCTCTCCAGCTTCATCTCCCAACCATGCAGCTTTTGCTACGCATCGTCTCTTGACAAGTTTTTTCCTCTGCGTTTCTGTTACCTACACCCTCACTTCCTGTTTTATGGATGAGAAGGACTTCTAATCCAATTACGACATTTTATTTAACTACCTGAATGCCCCGTGATGCCCATTTTGGCCTTTCGCTGTATTCACAAGCCAAATTTGAACATTTTATGGGATATATGTCTGTAGGATCCCTTCAAAATGCCCTTAGTCACCCAGAATTTTATCTTAGCATCCATCAGAACTGAAAAATTCTCGGCAGAAATCTGTCACGTGCTAAAACTCGAATCAATTGCCAATTAATGTTTAACCACACTCTTAAATTCTTCTTTGGTGTTTTACTCACGAGATTATGATTGCTTTATTTGTGGCTACATTTCTCAGCGCACCCAACCGTGGAAGTAACAAAGCGTCTTTTCGGCCAAGCTGGCCTGCTTCTTCTCTTCGCCTTATACGCCTTTATTGTGACAACGGCGACAGTTTTGCAGATTTTTTCAATCACGAAGGTGATGACACATGGCATTTATGCCGTACACATGAGGGTGAGTTTGACAAAGCTTTTTCTATTTATCTTTACCATGCTACTGACAACCATTTTTCTTTGCAATAGCCATTCAGAGTGAGTCCGGATTTCAACTGTTGCATTTTCTGCGGCAAATCAAAGGGGGAAATAACCCTGCCAAATGACAAATGCCAATGCTGTGAATATTCAGACTGTCTACAATGTCAAGAAGACTTGAAGTAGGTATTTGTGGTTTGGCTTTCTAAATAACAAAATCAGTCGTAGACAGGATGAAGCCAGTGATTTGGCCTAACACTGCAAGAGGTTTGCGCCTGTTTAATATAGCCTAGCAAAAAGAATTACCGTGTCTTATTTGAGACCTTTTGTTAGAACAAACCTTTGGCCCCCATCAACGCTATATTGCCTTTGTAAGCGGGTTCAGTTACAATCCAATCACTTAAGAAACATTCCATCAAAGGGATCATTTCGACTGCTTAATAAGTACTAATAATAACTTAAGGTAGGATCGATGTCCATTTATTATGCCGTTGTACTTGTAACATTTAAGGTTCCGTGAAAGTAAATTTATTGCTAGATGGCATCTTTGGGCGTAATCAGTTGATTCAACCTTTGTACATCGGATTCATGCACACTGGCCTTGATATAGGTGACTTCAACTTCGAACTGGATAGGTCATTCATAGGCCTTGGGATTAACGTGCATAAAGAGTAGCGCTTGATTTATTAAGTTGTGATCAGCGCTAAATTGCAACCGACTGAGCGAAATATGGGGAATTAAGCATCGGTTTATTTGTTAGACCGGACTAGCAATCAAATTAGTAGCAATACGCTTTGGATGGAGAGATAACTTATAGGTATTAAAGCAGCTACATAGTAAACGTCCGATTGCTTATGCACAATACTCAATTAAGTGATGCTTGGTCAGTTCTTGAAGGTTATTTCGTTGTGTAAGGCTGTATAGAAGGGCACAAGGCCCTGGACAAATCAGGAATGTATGCATGTCCATGCATTAATCACCAGAACACTTCGTATCCATTTACCCCCTTAAATTTACATCAACCTGACTTTGTGGCCAGTAATTTTGTTTTCCATTAGACGCTTTCTCTGCTATTTGATCAATTCTGACAGTCTACACATCATAGCCTTATTATAATTTTGGGTATCGCCGCGATAACTAGTTGAATAACCTTAGAACACCTTAGAACAATTTCAATTCCCACCAGATCATTTAGATTTACTGGTCAAATCACTGGGGTTTGGGCACCGATTTAAATTCATAATTGTTAGGTCATTGAAGCTGTGGTGATGAAAATTCAACAAAAATGTTTATAGTCAAAAAGCCACCAAGCCTTACGGAATCATTTGCAGTAGCTACTCCTGGTTACTAAAAACAAAACGTTTACCTTTAAGGGCTGCCGAAAATGGCCACCGAACCTACACACTTGGATGTCCTGCACATGGACTCTATTTAAATTATACAAAAGGACTCTCAAACGCAAGGAACACCTCAGTAATCATCGTCATTTGCGCTATAGTTCCTTTGGGCTTGTTGCTTAATTACGTCGAGGTAATTTTTGCTTTCATTTTTAACTTTGGGTCTGTTACAAGGTCATGCTATTCTTCTTCACTAGAATTAGTATCTAAAACTACATATGTGCCTCAAGCTTAAACCGTGTTTTAGCGCATACACACACTGTATCTACCAAGGTAATAAAGTAAATTAAAGTAAGGGGAATTAACCATAATGAACAGTTGAGTTATCACAGAGTTGACTTCAGTGTCTTCTATATCAACGTCACTTGAGTATCATCAGCGCTAGCCCTTTTTTTAAATATTGGTGCAGTGCCTAAACGATGCATAGAAACACAATGAGATGATTTAGCACCATCAGTAAGCACGGCACTTAAACTCGCTCTTGTTGCTTTTGAATGCATTTTTGTGGTCACGTCTTCATTTGAGTCAAGCTCCTCCAGAAACGTACTAGCGTGTGGAAAAAAAGCCATAAACTTGCGTTACTTAAAGAAGGGTTCTCGCCATTTGTTGCGTTTCTAATTTATACGAAAATGATGGGTATTCTCAATGTCTGAATTTGTAAATTGACAAGGCCATCTTTAATAGTCGCGTTTTCTATGAATTTCGTTGTAACAATTCCTATTTCCACAAATTGGATGAATTTTCACTTACATAATCAATTTTAAACATTCTTGTCAATAGCCCTGTTGACGTCATTGATGAGCATTGACATTCAAAAACGTATTCCACCTACACAAAAACGTTTCCATTCTAAATTTCTCCAGAATTGGTTCAGTGACCATGTGTTTGCTCAAAGTTCTGGAATACAAAATTTCTGCATTAAAATTCGTTACTTCGATAATGTTACCTGACTATAAGTTAACTACTGCGGACCAGTTTTTTGTAAAATACTATTCTCTTTATTGGTACAACGCGTGATTCCGAGTATTTTTTGCACTTAATTTTATTAAGGTTATAAATCAGGTTCATTCTGGCCTTAGGCTAAGAATGTGGATGATCCTAAACGAAGGTCGTGTCACCTGACTGCTTGGTAGTCAGGATCGAGTACATGACGATCACGAGAGGGGAAACAAGCAGCATGCTTGTACCCTCTGGACGATGCGCATTATCAGGGGCTCTCAGTGAGATAGCAAAAATCAAGTTAATCTCATGGTGGACTCACTGTTTTGCGCTTTAATGTTGCGAAAGCCAGTAAGATCTGTGAACGATGTAGCGGAGTGCAAATCTACATTTGGACAGTCTACGTCGAGCCATTTGTAAGAACTGTTATCAGCATAACATGTGAATAACCCTATACGAGGGTGAAAACTTTGCTTACTTGTTACTCACTGACTGCTATACCGGTTTACACAAACACCTGAGATTAATTGCAAAATGATAAAAATTCAAATATTTGATTTACCTAAAATTTAACTACACCTAGGGATCCAAAGTTTACTCATAAAGCCTGCGCAAATAATTAATCTGTTTACGTTTGCATGTTTTCCATCCTAGGTTTGCCAGATAGTTCTAAATGAATTGCCAAAAAGTTGCGTAGTTGGAGCATTCGGGAGCTTTGTCATGGCCCTGTATTGGGACAATCTCACGGAACCCGCCGTTTTCATCGGAAGCTTGATGAGCTCAACTCTGGCCGTAACGACGTGGTTCACTTTAAACCTCCTGCACAAATACTGGGCGGATTTTCCTCTCAGTAGGCTTTTGCACTGCAATAATTTTACCGTTCAGTCAAATATTACGAACTCAGGATTATTGACTTTCCTTATTATTTATACCATCGTCAGTGCTTGAACATATAGGTATTTTTACATTCAGTAGACTTTAGTAACCACAACCGTCGTCTTTGAAATTTAGTTTATGAGAGAGCGCGCCTCTGGGATGTGCCTTATGGTTGATAACGCATTTAGCACAACTAAACATTTTAATCTCAAGTTATAAAGGCTACGCTGCCCCTTCGGAGGCAACGTTACGAAGTGAGAATATGCACGATATTTTCTCTCCTTTAGATATAACAGAAGTCGGTATTGTGTCAGACTCTTTCGGCATCCTTTGCAGCTTCATGTTGCCTGCAGCCATTGTCTTTGCTACCAAAATAAACAAACCAGACAGCTTTACCATGGAAGAGACACAACTTACGTGGAAACGCACGCTACAGCTTGGGGACCCCATTAATCCGTGGATGCATACTTATGCACAGTGAGTAAAAAGGATTTTGAGCAAATTATTTCTTGACAATACTAGTGTTTGATTCTGCTTGACTTTAGGACGTTTAGATTTCCCCTGTCACAATCAAGTCAGCTTACAGTGGCGCAGGTGAATGCAGCCATGCAGCCCTCTAGAAGAGTAGCGGCAGTGGGGACTGCCCTGTACTTTGCGCTCTTCACGCTTTTACTCGGGCTTGGGTGCATTCCAGAGACACTGAGCTTGGATGGATTTCGAGCATGGGTAGGAACTGGCATCTGACTACCGCCATCGTTTTGTGATCAATGTTAAAAAAATGGTTTGAAATGGCGCCACATAAATCATCCGAAAATAAGCAAAAATAATACAATTAACTCCAGATTATGGTAGACGCGAATGTTCCTGAAGTATAAAAATCTATTTACCCGATATCTTTAAGGTATTTTTTAGAATATAAAGTAATTTATCATCAAAATATGCACGGTATTGCCCATGGATGGTAAGGAAGCATGAAACATTTGGCAGGGGACAAACATTGACCTCAGTTGCTTTTTGTTTTAATACTCACTCAACAAAATGTAAAAACTGAGCCGATATTAAATGAATAAAAAGACATGTTTTTAAGGAGTCAGTTTAGTAGAACTAAGGTGGTTACGCACCAAAATTTAGTCTAACGATTGGGACGTGGGGAAGATGCTGTGCGTGACGAGGCTTGAGGGAGGTTGATAAAGACTTACGAACTTGCTCAGATTACCTGTCATACCAGATGATCTATGACCGGATTTGCTGTCATAAATGTGGGTCGATGTGTAGATTGGTGCTCCACGATACGATGCATCGCCATTAGGTTTTGAAATGGATTCAAATTACTTGAATTTAACAACAATTTGTGTAAATTTGGGATTGAAAACAAATTTTATTAACTTACATTCCAAGTATGGACTATGCCTCATGGTCAAAAAAAAGAAAAAATGCAATAGACTCGTATTATGAATGTTTGCAATCAGGGCAACAATCTTGTTGAACTCGTTGCTCTAGAGTTGTTTTTATCTATAAAAAAATTTACTCGGTATCAACCATTAGATTCACAGACCTGTATTGATTATAATAAGTAGTAACTTTAATTACAGCTTTCTAGTGATTTCTATGTCACTTTTCTAGAAGTAATGCCTTCACTTGTGCCTTATTTTTTTTGAAAGGCAGTTAATGTGTTTGAAATAAAACAGAAGAGGATTGAGAGTGTCAGGTTAAGAATGATTTATGTGCTGTCTTCAGTTATATGTCATCTTCATGATTGTAAATTTTATGACTCTGACGACAAGCAATTTAAGTATAACAACTCAGACAATAAGTCTTGTTCATGCATTTCCTCAACTCACACCAAACTACCAGACAATAACGGATGGTCATTTGTCTAATGTGGCATTTAATTTGAATTTCTTCATTTTGCATCCTTAGGTGATCTTCATATTCTTTTGGTTAGTTTGTTCGCTAGTCGCTGCCATTTTACTGCCTATACTGAGCGAAGTTCCGCTTGTTCAACACCTATGTAGCACGGTAATGGAGAAGACATTTTTAGTGCCCCGCATCGAGTGCTCAGACACAGACGCTGGTAGGACATCGTTAATAGTTTCTGCTCTTTTTTGCTTCCTTTTTAAAAGCGCCTGCTATTTTTATCTTTTTAGATATCGCATCATCTTACTGGCAGGACTAATCTACTAATCCATAACCACGCACTTATTTGTTGCCGTCTTCAAATGAACACGTTGCTATTAAAGAGTGTGGATTTTCATGAAACCTTCTTTCCTGCAGTATGTTCCTCAAGCAAGCCAATTGCACCAAATTATTTTCCAAGCACCTACAAACAACACTCATGTGTTTAGACTAAATAAATACGTTTGTTCTGTACAACTGAAGCATTTTTATCATCTTAATTTTAAGGTTTTGCAGTTTAACATGTGGTAAAGTAACCTTTAAGAATGAGGCGACAGTATTGTGAAAAACAAAGAATTTTTGGAAACACACTTGCTGAAAAATACTTGTGGGTCTTCTATCACTTGTATTTGGGTGAAAAATTTTAACACTCAATGTGTTGCGAGAAATTGATTGGAAATGGTTGACACTGTGGCCGCGATTAAATCAGTTTACAAATTGGAATATGCGTATATATGGAATTAAAATTTAACTAAAGGAATTTTAGTCAAATTAAAATTTAAAGCTAGTGATGTTACAAGTGTTATGACTACAAATTAGGACTTGGTAATTTTATGCTTACAGGTCCAAATGTTAGGAAAGCATTAAAGTACAGCTGCCACGCATATTTGACTAGAAAAAAATCTTATACGAGTTATCATCTAATGTACTGGGAGATCATCCTTAAAATCGAGCAGGCCAAAAAAGAAGGGTTTCTTTGCAGTCCGAAGGAAAACAGCGGTGATGCTTCGTGGATTTAATATTTGATTTTATGGCATATATAGAGATGAAAGACGAGAACACAACCATTTAGCCTCTGTCTATTCGTTTACTTGTTTGAATTGATTCAAAATATCCTCCAACTGTGCCTTAAGCTGCTCATGACCCTTGCGCAAAAAATTGACATCCTCCTCTGCTCTTCGCGTAGCAGCTGCCAGTCGATTGGCCTCTTTTTCCTCCAAGGCCTTGCAATTAAGCGCTTCGACCTTTATTTTCTTCTTGAGGCTAGCTATTTCTGCCTCGAGTTCGTCCACGCGGGTCGTCTGACGGTTGCGATCGGCTTCACGTGCGAGAGACTTTTGCAGACCAAATACCACACCAGATGCATAGATTGATTGCAGTGCCGACAGTGTTGTCTGGACTTCATTACGAACACGTAGCAACAGAAGACCACGTTCAGCACAATGTATTGTTAGTTGACGGATCAGTTCGTCAAAAACCTGGAACGTCGGGAGAGTCAAATTTCAGTGACGCGCAGATTGTCGCATATACTGAGCATCTATAGTATTTCTCTCTAGCCTAGAACCAGATTGGTTGGACTTTCACAGCAAAGGCCCTTAAATTCGAATTCTCTAGTTATTGCCTATATTCTATTTCAAAACTGTGAGCTCCCGGAATGCTCATAGATGGGGCAACTGTACGATCATTCCAGAATAAGACATGGCATGGTGAAGGTCTACATAAACATTACGTTTATTCAAGGTTTTTTTCAAAAAAAGAACAAATGTGACTGCTACATTAAAAAATCACTAAACGCGATTTTATTTACAACTAAGTCATACGCCGAATCTACAGAAATGATACTCATGAGCTTAATTTATACAATGAGTCGTTGGAACTTTAAAATTTCGGAATCGAAAGGCGACATTAAAATTTAAAGGTGCAAACTATTTAGTATTATCAGCCAGCAACCTCAACACACTCATTTGCGAACCTGGGAAAAGAGTTCCCTGCGAACAGGGCAAATTCCAGTCATTTTCGCTCCTCTCGCTTCCAACTGCTGGTCCAGTTGTTTTGTTAGTTGGACGACTTCAATACGTGAGGCTGGGGCTGAAGACACCTCCTGGATGTACAAATCACCAGAAATTTCCAGCTGCCTCGGCGGCATGATGCTGGCAAGGATGCTTTCAGTGGACTCCATTTGACAGGCATTACGTGGATCGAAAGCGCGTCCCTCCTTCGCATCGACTTTTGTTTGCTTCTTTGAGACACGAACGGGATTGTTGTACTTCAGTAGAGAAGTCTCGGGTACAATCAGTTTTTGTTCCTGACTCATACTAGAAGCCAGTTAGTTTGACTAATTCGTGCACACCGCGCGAAATTAAAATATTGATCGTTGTGTGCAATCGTGAGGTGATGAAGACCAGGCTGCCCTGAACAAGTTGCTTCTGGGAAGTTACGAGCAGAGGTTGTGTTATTCGTTTTAGCACAACCTCAACATGGAATATAGCATAAATTTTTATAAAGATTTATGGAACTCACTTTTACAATTCCTTTCTCTATACCTAAGACTTAATTATTTTAAAGCTGGAGATTCTGGGCTGTCTGATTCCAAATGCATATCGGCAAATTCACTTTGTTTTATAAGGCCTTATTCCGACTTAAAATTATTTAATCTTATTTAAATTTTCATAGGTTTTCAAGATTGGGGACACACGGTTTTAGCTAGTTCTTGTATTTGTCGTCAAGTGTCAAACTTGGCGTCATTATCTTTCTCCTGATGGCTAGTTGTATCAAACGTATACTTATTTGATGGAAATGATACACTTTACCGCTTGTCATTGAACATGAAACAGAGAAAAATCTGCTTGTTGGGGTTTTACAATTTAGAAAACAGAGTGAAATTTAAAAAAAAAACATACCAACTAATGAGAACTTCCTCTTTAGTTTGCTGCCGATCGTTTTTTTCATAATTAAAATGCGGAGTGCAATGGTTTCAAATGCCTGTTTCCAAATACGGAGCCAAATGATCCTCCCATCTACAATGCGTGTAAAATTCCGATTTGATATCTTTTGCGGTTAATGAGGCTATGCTGCAAAATGCACCTAACTTCTCACTTCGATTACTGTTCACACATCCCCGACACAGCATTACACAGCGATAAAAGCATCAGTTACACAGGTTCAAATGCCACGATTAACCAGATTTCCCAGTGGTTCATGAAATGAAACCCACAACCAGGTCATATAAAGGTCAGTACCCGCAGTGCCAGGGCATATTATTAAGACCTTTTACTCAGAGCTTTCCGAAGATTTTATTGCTGTAAGCGATTGCCTTAGCTTCGGTGGTCAGCCATAAAATCCGTCCACCTTCCACCGCAAATTGCCGAACCAAACTCGTAAATTTCCGTCATCATTTTCTCTCAGGAACGGTAGTATGCACACGAATTCTGCCCTTCTAGTCTTCATCCAAATAATAGCAGCTGCAGCCCCCATAGATGTGAATTCAGCTTCTAGGTTGCAGCGGCACCATCAACGATCTTCACCTGAAAGCTTACAAACCAACTGCCACCCCATTGAGGAACCCTCTTGCCTGGGTTTGGAATATACACACACGTACCTGCCTAACGTTGTGGGGCTAACGAGCCAGGAAGAATCTGCGAAACGGCTGCGCGATTACTCTTCTTTATTAAAAATAGGCTGTTCCAGCTACGTGGAGTTCTTCTTATGCTCTGTATACTTTCCAATGTGTACAGAAATTATGGGAGAAGTTGTTTACTTGAGTCCTTGTGCTTCCTTCTGCAACCACGTAAGACAGCATTGTGCACCGATAATGCTCCGTTTTAATTTTAAATGGCCTGACGAGTTGAATTGCACAAAACTGCCATCAGATGATAAAATTTGCATTAGACCACAGACTTTTGAAGGTGACGTTTACCGTCCTTCCAGTGTGTCGATTTCAACAAACAAGAGTTTGTCTTTGGTTGACAATCCTGGCCAGGGAAATTCAACGTCTCCTGTTGGGCGCCATGAGGATTCAAAATTTTCTTCCCTCCAAAAGAACACAGTGAGGTACTGGTTGCTTATCTGTACTTCTCTCAATGCTGCTTCATGCCTGGTCTCCTTAGCCGTTTACTTGGCTAATAGCAGTCGCTTCCCACACCCATTTCGGCCTCTGGTTTTTTTGACAAATGCCTGCCTGATTCAAGTCGCTTCAAGCGGACCGCAGTTATTGGCTTTGCGTGAAGCAATTTTTTGTAAAGATGAAATCCAGACTATCTATGGAAGCGCCAACATTTGTTGTGTGGTTCATTTTACTTTCGCACATTATGCGAACATTGGGATCGCATCCTGGTTTGTTATAGCATCAATTTCTTGGTTTCTTTCCTCGAGCAAAGGGTGGGCCCTGGAGGCGATTCAGCGTTGGGATCGCTGGTTTCACATATGTGCATGGATTGTGCCTTTTTTCCCAACTACGGCTATTCTCTTTCTCCAAGCAATTGACACCGACGAACTAACGGGCTCATGCCACGCTGGATATCAGGACAAGCTCACATATTTTTTATTTGTAATTTTTCCAGAAGCTAGTTTTGTAATCGTTGGAGTTACACTGATGTCATTTGCCCTAGCCTCTTTGATCCGAGTTTATAGGGATTTAAAGAGTTTTCACCGACTGCCATTTTCGGTAGTAGTAAAAGTCGTTCGAACTCCTGCGAACAGGAGACGTTTGCTTAAATCAATTCATAGGGCCCTCATAACAATTGTGTGCGTAGCTGGACCTCTACTTCTTGGAATAATTGGAGATATTTGGATGTGCTTCGGTACTCCGTCAACCTCAGTGCCTGTAAGTCTGCTCAAGCCAGCATCAATGGAAACTGTAGGAATCGGAGCCGGACTAGTGTTATGGGGTAATTGGAAGACCCTCAGATGCAGATGCCTCAGTGGTGGCGACATAGTAGCTCCTACTAAAGCTGACTCATTGCAACTTCAACGCAATTCTGCCGAACCCAAAAGTGAGTCCGTTGGAAACCATTGTGTGTCTTTACAGGAATCAGCACCTTGAATAACCTACATGAGAATTTGGTAAATCTGCCAGGATTAGACTATAGTTCTTGGTATTTTTAAAAACAACGTCTTTAGACTTCTCTTAACGGATATGTGACCAGTTATAACAAGGACAAATTAAAATAAAAATTGTCAAGGTGCTCACGATGTTTGTACTTCCACTAAAAACCACCGAATTAAATAATTTTTTTATTTGTTTAATAATTGGTGATATTTACTCTTTACCTTTTCTTTGACTCGGGTAAGTGTTGACATTACTGCTAGATGCCCTGCATTTAACCTTAAATCAAGTGGATAAGAAAGTAATCTGGCTGAGCAAGGCTGGAGCTGAGTTGGAAAGGTGTCGCAACATCCCGGTCGTGTACCAGGATGACCGTCTTGATACCCTAGGAAATGTGTGGTCGAGGGCTGCCATGATCCATAATAATTTGGTCGCAGCGCAACCAGCGCAACTAGTCGGCATAGAGGAGCTGGCGGATCGCCTAATTCATAGAGAAAATTTGGTTGAGTACTGAACCTTAAGAGTTCCACCACAAACAAGCCATCTTTTTGCCCGTCTTGCTCACCATTCCTCAAATGTACGTAAAGCCAACACTTCTCGTAGTAAATTGCAATTCACCGCGTGAACCTCGATCCGTGTCCATGAATACGATGTTTCGCGTAAGCGTATAAATCGAACTAAGCAAATTATGTGCAGTAGGAATGAGCGGGAATGCTCGAGTGAAATATCCTTACAAGTATTTTGATCGATTTTCAGCTCGCGGGCTGGGCAAAGTAGAAACTCGTAAGCTTGGATATCAGCAAGCGATTCTAACAAGCAATGCCTGGTCAAAGCAAACACTTAATCCCAGTTGTCGATTTTGACCATGCTCCGTTCCAGTTGTGGTCGCAATATAATGTCCCTTATACATTGAAATATCGGGCAGTCTTGCCATTGTAGTAAATAGTGTTTGCAACATTTATACAACGAAATGTTTTTAATTATCAACTTGTTCCGTCGACAAGTCCACCACAGCGGTAATTGACTATTATGGATCAAGTAACACGTGGAAGAAAGTTGCTCATTTGAAGACTGATAAGCTGGACGTTAAGGAAAAGGATTGATGCTCAACCAGCTTTCAATCCGTAGCCAAATTAACACCATTAAGGCTGTTTTGCATTTTCAGAGTCCCACAATTCCGCATCGTGTGCATTCGCAAGTAGCCCCACCTCTTGCCAAGGTGCCACCACGAACGGGGTCAGCAGATCACACGCATCCAGTACAAGCCACTACCGTTCAGTGGACGGTGCGCTCCACGGCCAGGCGCAACACCCACCCATGAGAAGACTGGTCAGCCCACAGAATGAAACCAAGCTCCGAAATTGGCTGCGTGATACTCCCGATTGTGGTCTTCTACTGCCAACGCCCACCTCATCCCAGCTCGGTAGACTCTCACTGCCCCAAATTACGCAGGCCTCCCTGCTCACCAGGCACTAGTGAAATCATGCCAATTTACGGCTCTTTCGAATGCACAATTCTACACCCAGTGCCGAATCACACGATCCAAATTATGTAGGTCATGCCAGAATTGTATAAGAAAATAAATGAGTCTGATGAAACTGTGCCCGATGGTGTAAATTCGAG